ATGCTAATTAGACCGGACATCCTTCCAGACGAAGCTGCGGCGGCAGGGGCCGAGGCAGAGGCCCCCAGCCACGGCGGTGGTGGGGGCCAAGCCCCTTGCACGAATTTATATAGGCCTCTAGGTCTATATAATGTCTCAGCAAAGTTAAATTTACTAATGTTCAGAACCTATTAGTTGTAAAAGCTTGAGTTCAAATCTGCAAATGTGAAGTATTTAGTACACTTTCTCTTTCTTTTCCTTTGTTCAGATTTAAATGATTATCAACCTATGATCCAACCCTTCATCATTATCATTTCCCTTTTGTATATCATATGTAAAATTGGTTTTCAAAAGCTGCCTTAGTCTGTGCTTATGAAGATATATATACTGAAAGAAAATTGGATGTAAAGATAAATTGCTATGTAAAATGGAATCATTTTTTATCATTTTCTTTTTTGCACGTTTACCTCAATGCTTTTGTATGCTCTTCCAGAATTCAGTTCTGAAATTTACAGGTTAACAACACTACATTAGTATGCTACAATCTATAAATATAAAAGGCTAATATGCAAAGTGTCCCCTCGGGAGTTCGGTCAGGAGACTGGGAGTTCGATCGATCGCTATGATGTATGCTGACCACCAGGGGGTGGCATAGAATGAAGGAAGGCACCGGCCGGCAGCCAGCAGCTGGGGAAGGGAGGCCCCAGTTGGCAGCCAGAAGGGCCCGATTGTCCCTGATCGCCAGCCAGGCCTAGGGACCCTACCCATGCAAAAATTCGTGCACCAGGCCTCTAGTTTACTAATATTCAGTTCATACTCATATATCTTATGGGAAGCTGGCAAAATTAGAAATAGAACTCATCAGATCTTGCTATTTATTCTTTTTGATGCTGCCTATTAATTTTTTTTTTAAATATCAAGAGCACAGACATTGGATGATAATAAACTCCCAGCATCCTATGGTGTATCAACAGGACAGCTTTTCTCAAAATGTCTAGGTTACCTCTGCACAGGGAAAGCCTCTTAGGTGGAAGGTGACTGCCCTGTGATTTCTGGGGAAAAGTACCAACTCTAATTTATGGACACCCAGTCAGTTTGCCCAGGAGAACCTCTTTCACAGAGGACTCTCATCAAATCACCCTCTACTTCTGGTTCTAAATTTTGATCAGCTTTGGTGCAAAATGTAATACAGAAAACCAAATCTAGTTAAAATAGAGGATAAGTCAGCTGATAAACTTTGTTGGTATAATTTATATCACACAATCTGGAAATTAGTGTCTACCTAAATCTTTTAGACCTCCAGGATAATTCACAAATGTTTATAGACTTAGAAACAAAATACACACTACTTTTACTTTTTTGTCATAGGCCCTCACTGCAGCTTTCTTATTTGGGTTTCACCCTCCTCAAATCTCATATTCTTAAAATGTGGAGTTCAAACTGTATACAGTTTAACATGCTGAGCTCAAAAGGTTTGCCATCACTGGTCTAATACAAAGAATAATAAAATGATTATTTTAAGTTCTGTCATTTATGCATGGGTTCAGCAACTGTTTTTTACTTAAGGATAAAAAGATAAATTAAAATTGTAAATGATTATTTTAAAATTGACTATGTCGTAGAATTGGCTTGGGAAAGAATACAATCCTACAAATAGATGATAGTAGCTTTCTTACTAATTTAATTTGTAAGGCTTTCCTAGAATTAGAAAAAGCCTGGCCACTTTAATTTTTCAAAGTCCTTCAGTATAAACACATATTAAAAAATATAGAAGCCATTGAAATAATAAAAATATTTCTTAGCCCTAGCTGGTTTTGCTCAGTGGATAGAGCAATGTCAGGGCCCAGGTTTGATTAGGGTCTAGGACACATGCCCAGGCTGCAGGCCTATCCCCTGAAGGGGGCGCAGGAGGCAGCCTATCAATGATTCTCTCTCATCATTGATGTTTCTATCTCCCTCTCCCTTCCTCTCTCTTAAATCAATAAAAGTATATTTAAAAAAAATATTTCTTAGAGAAGCTGTAATTATAAAATTATTTTTTTTTCTTTTTTGGTGTCACAGTTGATGTTAACTTATAGTAACGTCCAAAGCAAAAAAACACACAAAAGTGTAAGTTTGAGACACCGTTTGTTTCTGTTGAGGCCCACCATCTTTCTTGTTAATGTTTTTCTTAACTTTTTTATTCCTTCCACAATTGGGGGACAGCTAAAGCTTAGCTTTCTAGTTTCCATCAACAGTATGAGTGCACTTACCTTTTGTAGCTCGTATTTGAGCAAGGTACAATGTAAATAAATGAAAAATGAACATGGTACATTTTTTGTTGTTGTTCAAAGCCATCACCTCATGGTTCGGCATACGGTACGAGTTGCGTACCATCCCCAATCATCTTTATACCTTTAGAGCAATTCTGGCTTAATTCAACATTGCACATTTGCATCTGTGTAGCTCAGTGGCTGCCTAGAATGGTGTTGTTTGTTATTGTTGTTTTGTGGGGTTTTTTTGTTTGTTTGTTTTTTTAGGATGGTGCCCCAAATTTAAAGCAAAGTAGACGAACACTCAAAAACATCTAGCCCTCTGTCCAAACCCACTCAGCCATACCCGGTCATTCTCCATATCTTTCTTTTTTCGTCAAAGGCAGTCTTTTTCTTCAGCGGATGACGAGGCGGCCAAAGGATGCGGCTTTTTATGTACAGCCAATTAAAGTCTGAAAGAGAAGGGAAAACATGGGCTGGATCAAAATCCCGGGCAGTCCTCAGGGTTGGAACCATGAATCCTTTGGAGCGATTGTAGCAGCCCGTCTCCATAGCAACCTTCCGCGGCGCCTCTCCGCCTTTAGAGCGCCCGGGCCCGGATGTTATGAGACTCGTGGCTTCCTGCCGTCTCCCCGCGGCGGGCTGCGCTGCTCTTCGGGGGTCGTAGTTCTTCCCTCCGCTGCTGCCCGACGCAAGGCGCGGGGCGAGACTACGAGTCCCAGCATGCACTGCGGCGCTCCGCCGGCCGCCTCCTCTCGGGAGCAGACGCCTGCGAGCAGGTTGTTGTTTTTATTAGAGGCGTCACTGGGCTCGGAGCTGTGACCAACGCCACCGCAACAGCCGGCACTTTGGGGTGGAGGTGGCGCTGCCCCCTCAGGTACGGCCCGGGGTGGGTTTGGGCCCCAGGAGAGGAGTCGCGGCCACCTGTCGGGGCCCTGGCTAGCACCCGCGGCTCATACGCCTGGCGGAGGCATTCGCGCGGTCTCCTCTGAGGCTGAGCTCGGAGTTCGACTCCTGCCGCCTGGTGCGTGTAGCCGCACCGGTGGCCTCGGAACCGGAGTCTGCAAAGAGCCGGTGTCGGTTCCTGAGGCGTCGGGTCTGGTGGTCCTGCAGCCTCCGACTGCCACGTGCAGACCCCAGCGCTGCGCCCAAGGTGCGGGGGAAGCGTGCGGCTCGGGGACCCTCCTTCCTCCCCTGGGCTGGCTTGGGTGAGAATCCATATGGTGAGATGTTACGTGCGTCACCCTGCCGGGTTTTCAGCCGGCCCATCTTTTTTTGGTGACGTTTGAGCCCCGTGATGCCAGGAATAGAAAAATTAAATATTAAATAGTGCAGGTGAGATTTCTGCTTGTACACCAGGCGCTCCATATCCGTGTCCTCCTCAGCGGCCCCCTTTAGCGTCGGCCTTCTAATCGAGAAATCTGCTGGATTAGCTCTCCATAGAGTGCCTCGCAAACCTTACATGCTTCCCTTGTTTGATGAATCCAACTCTGCCAGTGGGAGTGCCAGTTTTAACGAACTCAGTCCATTAAGGTACTTTGTTGCGGGGATGAAATTTACACTGCTTTACTCTAGCTTTATTGAAAAAACGGAATGGAGTTTTCTTGTAGCTAGAACAGGTATTACGAATTTTAGGAGACTTGCATTTTCCAGTAAGGTCGCATCCTTTGGATAGTGCTTGAAATGTCACTATTAGCCCATCATATCCTTTGGCTTAAGGTTTTAATATTATTAGGCTCCAAATTTTCGGTGATATTTATCACACCATCCTAGTGTGAATGGTTTATTCTTTCCTGAGCTCTGAGCCTAAAAGGGAAGGGAAAGAGAAAGTGTGTGGGTGGGGTGGGGTGGGGGAGGGTGTAGGTATTTTTTATTTTTAAATTAATTTATTACCTATTATAACTTGAAGTTAACAGAATTCTAATTCTTTTTTTAAAAAAATAGGTTTTTATTGAAACATCAGTGATGAGAAAGAATCATTGATCCGCTATCTCCTGCACACCCCCTACTGGGGCTCGAGCCTGCAACCCTGGCATGTGCACAGATTGGCATCTAACCATGACCTCCTTGTTCATGGATGAGGCCATTCTCAACCAGTGAGCCACATTGGCCCGGAAGGGGGGTATTCTTTTAAAACATAAATTTAACCCTTTACCTACGGATGGGATTCGAATTAAAGAAGCTGTTAAAATCATTCTTAAATGTGCGAAATAGTAATTTTTAAGTAAAATAGGTTAGAGAATAGTGTGATTCTAATTTTGTAAACTACATAGAATGTAGAGTAATTATATGCCTTTGAAATGTCAATGTAAGAAACGTTTAAACCTGTAGAGTTTTTATGAGTTTATTTGAGCCAAATTGAGACAGTTGCTGGGAAGCAAAATCTCAGTGGATTGAGAAAATGCTCCAGAGAATAGCAGCTTTGCACCTTACTTTATACATTCTAATCAAAGAGGAGGAATAAGGATTACATGAAATCCATTGATAATAGAGTATTAGGAAAGTGGAAGAAAGCAAAGCAGGGAAATCTCTGGGATTAGATAAAGAGTAAAATAAATAGACACATACTTTTACATTTGTGGATATAGGATAATTAGCAGTTAACAACACGGTAACAATAACAATGAGGGTTTTTGGGGTCTCTGCTCTGATGCAGTGAGGGGTCTGGTAAAAGGAAATTAGCCAGAAATTGCAAAGGTATGTTATGACCAAAGACCTCCCCTGAACTTGTCAGGTTTAATATGTGGTCCCTTTTTGGTCCACAGAAATAAGACTGAAAGGATAGTTTTAATTATAAAAGTGAAATTACAAATAACTTTTTATTTTTATTTTAAAATATATTTTTATTGATTTCAGAGAGAAAGAATTGATTTTATTGATTTCAGAGAGAGAAACATCAATGATGAGAGAGAATCATTGATCAGCTGCCTCCTGCATGCCTCACAGTAGAGATGGAGTCTGCAACCCCGGCATGTGCCCTGACAAGGAATTAAACCATGACCCTGGTTCATAGATCAGTGCTCAACTACTGAGCCATGCTGGTCTGGCACAAATAATTTTTTCTTTATACTTTCTGGTATTTCCCAAATTTTCTATAGAAAAAAAACTTAATTTAAAAATGGAGATAGGTGTAGCAATTCTAGTTATAAAGACTTTTTAAACATTACTTAAAAAAGCAAATAAGTAACAATGAAAAATGTAACTCTTGAAAGGGACAAGAGTTCATTAGTTGGACTAGAAAGGTAAAAAAAAAAAAAAACAACCATGACAATAATTCTTAGTATTTGTACATCTCATCTGATTTTGCTCTGTTTTCTTTTCACTTAATACAGTAAAATCAAAGAAAAATGTGCTAAGCCTTTCTTCAATTAAGGCAGTGAAATCTTGATTATTTTAATAAATCCATCAGGTGATAAAATATGGAGATATTAATCTGAAAATATATCCAGATCTGGATATAACAAATCTATCATTTGTTATTTTGTAAGCACTTGACAGTGGAAATGTTAAACAATTATTATAAAATGGGAATTTTAAATTTGTTTTCATTGAATCACTTTGAGTACTATGTTTGATATTTTGAATTTATGTTAATTTTTGTTTCCTATTATGGGTATGTTAGATATGGTAGGTAAGTAGCATATTATTAAGCCTACATTTTGTTGTGTTTTTTTTTTTTACATACAGGAAGGGCCATATTGTTCTGTAGGAACAGCTGATGTATTTTTGTAATTATCAGCCTTGAAAAATTGGGGTTTACCTTTTTGCCATTTTACTGTGTTGGCTCAATATCTTAATAGATACATGGGTCCATTTACAGGACATAAGAAGCATGTATAGTTAACATGTTTGATTTATGAACTGTTCACAAGTATTGTGGTTCAGGTTGTATAATTGTATTCTTATCCAAGTTAAATAAGATTTCTAAAAATTAAGTGAACTGCTAAGATCATAGAAGTAGCAGTTTCTGAGCATGTAAAGAATGTGGACACAGCAGCAAGGCCTGTAAGCCCAGGGTGTTTTAAAACAGAAAATGCAGACTCATCTAACACTGCGGAACTACTAGAGGCTGGATTGTTTTTGTGTTGGTGTGTGGTTAAGGTGAGGAAGTTGCCAATTGTAAGTGATAATTTACATTTTCAAGAATTGTCTTCCTGGCAGTTATGCAATTTTGACTAGATTAAAACAGCTAAAAAATATAAGTCAGCTTCAAAGATCATGTCCAATAAACTTGAAAAAAAAATCTCAAATTGAGTTCTAAAATGAAATTTAGCTCTGTAATATGGGGAGGATTACAGCTAACTGATGAATTTTTATTTTAAGGGCATTTAATGTGTGGAAACCTGTTTAAAGGTCTGTAGAGTTTTCTGAAGGAAGTATTAGGAAATGAGTTAAGTAAGTAAAAGAATTTCCTCTGTCATCCCGAGAAGTCAAAATCTAATTTTTTATTAGTACTTGTCTATAAATTACTATCCTGAAACCTTACTTCTGGTTCATATTGCCAGTGCGATGGAATGTAAAAAAAATTGGATTGGGAGTCAGATGTTTAATTATGTTTTGCGAGTACTACAATGTTATGGGTCCCTGTTGTTTCTATTTGTGTTGTAAATAATAGCCAATTGCTTTACTTCATGGGGTATTGGTGAAGATCAATCCGATATGAAAATGCTACCACTTTGTAAGAGTGACTCATGCGAAGTATTATTGGCCTGCTAGCATTTACATAAAACATACATATTTGAAGTGTGATAACTCAATGTAATATATACTTTTTTGACTGGGAAGTTTGGAGAAAAGTCAAAGGTGATCTTTATTTGATATTTCTGGTAGAGCTGTTTGGCTTTTTTTTTTTTTTTTGGATTGAAGGAAACCTGGCTCCTCTCCTGATTGTGACTTTGCATTCTGCTGCCTTAAAGGTCCTGAAACTGAAGTGTGCTTTTATGGTTGTGCTTTTAATTTTGGTTTTGATTTGTTTTAATCGCACATCTAAAGTATAAGGAAGATAAGTCTAACTTAACAGAAGAAAGTAGATGTTGTTTTTAATATTTTAAAATAGCACTTTAAGTTGAACTGGTCCTCTGAGAGAGATAAATTGTATGTGTAAGCACTGGTCTTTCAGTGCAAGAAATAGTTTAGGCCCTAGCCGGTTTGGCCCAGTGGATAGAGGGTGGGCCCAGAGGACTAAAGGGTCCCAGGTCCCATTCTAGTAAAGGGCACATGTACCTTGGTTGCAGACTCTGGTGGAGGGCGCGTCTGGGAGGCAACCAGTCAACGTCTCTCTCTTACATCCGTGTTTCTCCCTCTGTGTCTCTCCCCCTCCATTCCACTCTCTAAAACTCAATGGAAAAATATCTTTAGGTGAGGATTAAAAAAGAAAATTAATAGTTTAGAACTTAGATGCCTCCTTCTGGGGAAGTCAGCTTTGCCTCTTAGAGCAAGGTTCACATATTGTATACAAGCATAAGGTCTTTTAGAAACTTGTCAATAAATTCTGAGGACTTAAGAGAATAAATATAAGTAAATAGAGTAAAAGCAAAAAAATAGGTTATTTATTATGGGTTGGTAAAACTGCTTACTTGATTAGTTGATAATGCAAATAACATCTTTACTAACATTTTTATCTAATGCTACTACTAGAAAGCAACAACGAATATATATTTAATTATTCTGTAATAAGGTGTACAAACTGAAAAAATTGAAACAATAAAAATTTATAAAATTCCTTTGTTTTCCATCTTTTCATCTTTTTTCTCAAATGAAAAAGCTGAAGACAATTGTAAAAAAAAAAATTAGGACAGGTAATCCTTTTGTGAAAAGTATGTTTAAAATAAACAAAAATATAGCTTATGTGGCACTCTCCCTCTGGAGAACAGGCCCGTGCCTCTCCCTTTCCCTTCTCCCTCCCCTTCCCTGCAAAAAAAAAAAAAAAAAAAAAAAGGTTGAGGTGATGAATATATATATTTTAACAAGTGGAAACAGATTACTTTTTAAGAAATTGAGAATAGAAGAAAACAAAGAGTCAGGACCCAAAAGTCTTACTTATCCCTAATAGGGAAAAAGGGCCCCCACCAGGGGCTCTGGTGTCCAAATAAGGGCAGTATGGACCTGACTGAGTTTATGTATTTGTTGGCTCTTTCAGGTTTGTCCAAAATTAAGATATGACAATCCAGAAATTAAGGATTTTTCTCAGAAAGAATACCTTGTGAAAGGAATATTTCCATACTAACAGGTATCTTAATTTTCCCATAGCCTTTTGGATTCGTATTGTTTATTCACTTTATTTCAAACTTTTTATCAAAGGTGTGGCTTCTTTTAGATTGAGGCAAAAGGGGATACTTTTATCTTCAAATATGGCAATAGTTGCTTTTGTTTCCCAATTTGAGGGATGTTGCATCATAGAAGGAAATTTGTGAAGAAATTGTATTTTGACTCACTTCTTGCAGAGTTTATTTTCTAGATCAAAAGGTTTATCTGTTGTATGTAACAGTATCCTGGGCATGAATAAAATGAAATTACTGCTCCTGTTTAAGATT